TGCTATATAATCTTCACCTTTCTATGAGTAACTTGGTGTAATTTTCAATCTGCCGCTATTATTTTCACTTTATCTTTTATGAGTAAGTACATCTACTTCTTTACGTTCATTCCTCTTCTTTTTCGAGTGGGGACCCCGATTCGTTAGACAAGTAGCAGGCCGCTGACATGGTTTTGTAACAAACGTTGTCTAAGTAATCATGCCCTAATAACGTGTTCTGCGAAAAACGGAACCATAATTTTCGGACAATCAAGTGGTTCAGCACATATCACCATCATACTTTTCAGACAATAAGTGGTTCAGCCTGCAAATATCAATCTACTTTATCAATCACCTTTGCCACTTATGCCGTATCCTGACCTAAACAATAATAGGTCAGGTCGGTCAGGTCATTGTCTACGTCCAATGGTGCCATGTCAAAGCATGTCAAATCAACAATGGGACCTGTCTCAATAGTGCAGTGTCTGTTTCTTGGTCTATTGAACACTAATCCACAGGCAAGACGTAAGACGCTTGAAACCGTATCTATTTAAAATATATGAAACAGAAGAGACGCCGCCGTCTGCACACGAAAGACGCGCGTCGCGTCAATGGCGGCTGATGATCCTCCTGACGACCTAAACAATAATAGGTCAGGTCATTGTCTATGTCAATGGTGCCATGTCAAATCAACAATGGGACCTGTCTCAATGGTGCAGTGTCTGTTTCTTGGTCTATTTATTGCTAACTACACAGGCGACACGAACGAGGAAGACGTGAGACGTGCGACATCGCGACGCTTGAAACCGTTTCTATTTGAAATGTATGAAACAGAAGAGACGCCGTCTGCACGTCTCATATCTTAGGCTGCCCCCACATTGGGCGTTGGCCGAGCGTTCGCGTTTCCTGAGCGTACTGCTGGCGTCGGCGCGGCGCGGACGTCGCGTCAGCGCACCGTCTGCGGGGCGCGGGCTTCGCGTTGTCAAGCGCCGCGCGAGCGCTGCGTGAACGCCGCGCAGACGCCGCGCTTACGTCGCGTTCCACGGGTGTTCGGCCGCGGGGGGGAATTTGTGCGGGGGGCACGGGTGGCAGAACGCCCGTGGAACGCGACGTAAGCGCGGCGTCTGCGCGGCGTTCACGCAGCGCTCGCGCAGCGCTGGACAACGCGAAGCCCGCGCCCCGCAGACGGTGCGCCGACGCGACGTCCGCGCCGCGCCGACGTCGGCTGTACGCTCAGGAAACGCGTACGCTCGGCCAACGCCCAATGTGGGGGCAGCCTTACTTTAAATTCCTTCTTCGGCAACTACCGGCATATACCCGGTAAACATAGTCCGATCCATTCTTCCCAGAACTACTCGTAAGCTTCGATTGCGCTGGTTGTTTGAACAACCACACACACACACACACACTTCCAGATGAGCCTTCCGCTCCTCTACAATCAGCTAAGTGTAGATTTAGCGACCCCGGGGTTGTAATCGTAGGGTCAGTTGTCATGCCACTTATGCCGAATCCCGACCTAAACAATAATAGGTCAAGTCATTGTCTATGTCAATGGTGCCATGTCAAATCAACAATGGGACCTGTCTGAATGGTGCAGTGTCTTCATGGTCTATTGGATTGTTGACCACAAGCCCATTGTGTCCTGTGCTCTTGATAATGAAAGTGTTGAGGAAAGGGCTTTGTTTTTACGAATCTTTCGTGTCTTGAATATTTAAATACATTCGAATTTTCAATCCATGATTCTAGTAATTTTCAAGCTCATCTATTTGTTTTAAAAAGTTGTGATTTCGTTTCGGATTTGTGAAAAAATCAAAGTTTTCAATATGTTTTTGAGTCAAATTAAAATTGACATATCATTTTGTAAAGTACGAAATCGTAATGTCATGCTTATGCATATAAAAAAAGTCTGAAGGTATTCAGATTCATTGATTTTACAAGGGTGTTAATTATTAATTAAACTGCTATAGAAGATCAAGAACGATATTCGCATCTTTTATGCCATCATTTGTACCTAGATATAGTAATGTATTTTTATACAAAGTTATTTTTACTTTAGCTATTGTTCTTGTCTCTTTTCTTCAACCTTTTAAAAACAAAACAGATGGATGTGAACATGAAGTTCAATCGCAGGTTAAAAACACCTGTCGTCTTAGACCCTATTGCAAGCTTTCCCTTTGAATAATGCACTTTAAAATTTACGAGTTAAGGCTTACATTTAAAAAGTTTCAAGACACCTGTTCGTACCCCTATGACGATAGTATGATTTTCTTACAAAAGTAAATCATAAAATACAGTAGATAAAGTCTAAATTAGATTGCATTATGTGAAAGCTTGAAGTTTTCTACAAGCCATTAATATGATGGATGGTTTTACGTACCTACTCGGCAGGGGCTACATTGAGTATATCAGTTTAAGTGTTTAATAGTTCTTTCTTCGGCTATATGATTATTTTTTACTTTTGGTAGCTTAGCATTACTACCCTTGTGCTTTTCTAAGCTTTTGTCCTTATATTTTTGATATAGTCACACTAACGTAACTTGAAAGTAGATTACGACTTTGAAAAACTTGAGGTTTGAAAAACAATAAAAGATAATAGTGAACTTATCGAATCAAAACTCATGAAATAAACTAAATGAATGTCAGACAATTACTAGACTACATATTATAGCAAGGTTAAGAATTCTTGAAGGTACGCAACGTATAGCCTGTATGGGTAGGTATTCTTTGACTATGCATCTAGGTATTATGTATTTACGTTTAATAGATTATCAAAAACTCTCCTTTCAAATTCTGTGTAATGCTTTTAAATCCAATAAATTGTTGAAGATTTGATAGGTATATGTATCACAATTAAATTCACGTCATTTAATATGTTGTGTTATATAGGTATAATATGACGTATCGATCCGGAAACTCGTTTGATCAATGATATTGAATCATCGTTAATCCGATTTGCCGCACTCGAGATGATTAATTATGATTAGCATCATAATATTATAATGTATGTAAGTAGAACATTAGTTTTTTTATAATATAAATTGCGTAAGAGTAATAAGGAAGTCCTTTACAAGTAGGTACTCTTGTCATCATAACATTACATTAACCTATAGCAGTCCAGTGATAGTAATAGGCCTACCCTAGACCACGATCTCACGTTTTCGCCATCTAGTCGCTACAAGCCGCTCCCTTTAAGTCATTGGTCCACCAGGCCGGAGGGCGTCCAACGCGACGCTTGCCGAGCCGTGGTCTACACTCAAGAGCACGCTTACTCTGCCGTCCATCGGTTCTACGACAGATGTGACCAGCCCACGGCCAGTCTTCAGCTTGCTACTCTTCCAGACTCTCTTGCCATAGAAATTTATTTATGAAATCCGGAAATACGAACAAGAAAACCAAGATATCCAAAGAAGATTTCAAGCTTTTTTTCAAGAATCTGTCGGGAATCTTTGTTTTAATAAAGACTATCTACCGTAAAGTAAATCACTATGTGGGTTACAATGTACCTAATTGAAAGGACCTGCTCTACTAACGCTTATATTACAGTTATCAATATCAGTACAATAATACCCCTTGGTAATACTGGTTTTAGTACTGCATCTACTCTAGCGGTTTAAAAGTTACCTATGCTATACTTATTTCTCGAAAGCGTCGTAAAAGTCTAGAGGCAGTAACTTACATCCGCTCTTGACAACTTATGGAGTGGAACTTTGCGAGCTAATAGACTTGGGATGAAAGTAGAATTCCATGGCGGTAAAGTTACGAAGGAATGTTATAGGGTTCTTAAGAATTTTTATGTTATGACTTACCATATATATTCATTCGTATTAATATCACTTGACCATACTTTTCGGGATTTAACTTACTATTTACTTACCTCACTTGAGAGCCAACAAATTCAATACCCATACAGGTGAAATCAGCTGATCAGCAATTTAGTTGGTATGGGATGTCCAAATAGTTTTCATATCGACCTATGTTTCTTGCGGAAAGTTGTTCCTTATCACCAGCCGGTTCTCAGTTTTCGCTATCGGTCACTAGTAAATTTTCACCCAATATTTTCATAATAAGTCGTAAGTCCTGTCTATTTCACCACAAGATTAGAGATAAACGATGCTACCATTTGATGGCTGATAATACCACCCCACATATCAAGTCAAGTCACATCAAGATCAAGTCATCCAAGCATCATAATACATCCGGTGATGTGATGGTGGTCATGGTCGTAACCGACATCCGGACATATGAGATTAAGAGGACGTTGAGGTTGATTAAATGATTATTTCCTATGATTAAGATAGGCAACTTCAGTTATAGGTGTACCTAAAGAAATAATTATCCGCTCCGAAATATCGAGGTAATCAAAAATCTTTATACCTCGGTAAAAACCCGCTAAAAACGACATTATAGTGTCGCAAAAATATGCAAGACACGGCTTTCCCATAATAAAATTGAGAAAAGCAAATTTAAATATAAAGATAGAATAGGCAATCGACCCAGAATAACGACAATCATGCTAAAATTTCTGGAATTAGGTATGGTAGACATCTTCAGCATAACACAGTTATATGAAAACAAGAGATAAACAAACAAGAATAAGAATGTCACAGATGCGGACAAAAAGTGCAACAAACAAACTAGGTTGATGTACCGCCCGGTAAAAATTTGGCATGTCAGCTGGGACCGGTTGAGTAGCGGTACAATTTGTGGGTAAACGTCACGTACTTAGACGACATGGTTATGTGAGATGGCGAACACAAGATTACAAATGCTGGTCCGCTAAAGATCAAATTTCAGAAAACGGTATTTTGTTTATCATAATCTTTTGGCCGTTTGATGTCCATTTATAAATACGTACAGGGCATCTTCACTTCTAGCTCCTTTCATGCTAAGCGATCTTGTGTTCTGCGTAACAAATTATTTCATTAATCATGTTTGTAGAGTGTTATATTTATTGGGATTGTAATGCACTCACAGTGCTATATTATTCTCACAAGTGAAAATAAGAAATAGAAAAGATGACGTTCATCGACCGGGAATCGAACCCGGGCCGCAAGGGTAAACGCCCCACCGCTCTGCCACTGAGCTATCGATGCACGGCCGATGGACGCCAAATTTTCTATCTCTTGATGCTCGTCTCCAAGCGACGATCCAGCGACATCTATAGTAAGTATTAAGAACTTACTACATGGTTAGTCCACATTATGAGTGGAATTCAAACCATATGATGAAGCTTGCTCAATCAATCTATTGGGATTGTAATGCACTCACAGTGCTATATCGACCCTTTGAGTAACAAATGTCGTAAAAGCCATTTTGGCGAAAATGAGCTTTTAATGCCATCTTATGTAGTTTGACGAGCTTTATCGATCTGTATATTTAAAATTTAGATATCTTGAAAAAAAATGGCTTTTACTACACAGATTTTTAGACAAGAAAAACTGTAATTTTTAAAAAAAATTGTCGTAAGTACCTTGTTTGGACGCCTTGGACACTGAAAAAGTGTCGTAAATAACATGTTTGTAAAAAGGTGGCTTATACGACATATTTTCTCAAAAAGACCAAGAAAGTGAAAACGTTCAATTTGTCGTAAAAGACAAATTATTTGATACTTTTTCTTTTACAACATTAAGCATGATGCGAAGCTTGCAGCCATTTCAGGTAAATTTGTGGTAATGAACAAGAAGTCTTAAATAGATTACTCCAACAATTGGCTTTTTCTACATAATTTTTGTTACCTCACTGGTGTTTACGACAGAATTTACTGTTTTTGGGACAATAGAGCTTGACGTTTATTGATGTAAAATACATATTCAATGAAATAATATTCTTTTTTCATGTAGTAAAAGACCAAGTTGCGGATAAAATAGGTGAATTATTGTAGTATAAAAAAGTATTTATTTAATCAAAATATTAATTTATTAAGAATGATATCACTAAGTAACATAATTAAATTCTAGTTTTTAAAGTTGGTTGTTAGATAATGATAAAAGTTTATTTTTGAAGTGTTTACTTCTTTATTTTAGCATTTAAGCTTATTTTGGTAGATTGACAGTCTTATTCAATATTTTTACTAATTTGGTAATATTTTTAATAATTTGGTACAACATAATATTCACTTTCTTCAATTATTCACGTCTTTTTCAATAATTTTTCGTATTGTCAATCATCGACTGATTTTGTTTTCTCTTTTGTTCAATATTCGGAGTTCTTTTAATTCGAAATTATTACAGCCCAGTAGATTTTCATCTGATTCAAATTATTATCGTTCAATTTATTATCCTTTTTCTTTAATTTTGATAGTGTTTGGTAATTTTCGTATCACACACTTAATGAAAATATTATCTAAATGTATCTGTCCCAACGTAATACATGAAATATTACACGTAGTAGCTCTTTCTTTTTCTGTACAAACATACATTGCATTTATCACGCCTTTATCTCTTATGGGGTAGGCAGAGCGTGAACAGCTGTAAAAATATGATCGTTGTCGCCGTGAATATTTCAGGGACATTTCAAAATAAGGAAGGTTTTCTTCACATATGTCAATAAGTATCTCTTTTAGTTTTATCAAGTTAGTGGACTATTATTTAATCTCAATTATCCAGACAAGAGATTATTTATTAATTGTACACTAAAACATACATAGTAAAAAAATACAGAGAGTCACAAGACACTACAGGTCCTGCTATCCTTCTGTAGATGTCAAGGCTAAAACAGCTCTGATGTTTGTTGCTTTTTTGCCATATATAAAATAAAGCACGAACACAAGTCTGTCATGTTTTTGCACTAATTTTGACATTTTACTGGTAGATGGCACAAATTTTTCACTAAATGCTAGTATATCAAAGGCTGGTATGCTAACTAGGCTTGCTGACGAGATGCACACGATCAACTTGAAGTTTTCCCAGTAAAAAGTTGCATACAGCATACTTTATTATCTAGCTCTCATTCTAATGCTTTGCAAAATTGAATACCGTTTAAAAAATCTATATCTGACTCCCTAACCCCTTGTCAGTTATCAAAAAACAATTGAATTTCTCAGATGTGATTGTAATTATTTTTAATATAGGATTACATTTATATTTCGAAGAAAAGTTTCTGACAATAGTTGTTCAGTTTTGTGAGTAGACCACACTCTTAAGAGATATGTACTTAATTAGATGTAATGTAACCTTTTATAGTATGATATTATTTATGTTGATGACACAACTTCAACTCTTTAAGCTCATTCGAAAAATAAACCTACCAACGTCATAGGCACATCGTACATCGTACGAAACTTATAAACTTTATAAACTTTCTATGTTGACTTAAACCAGCTCATCTTTTCGCCTTTCGATCGATCTTATATGTGAAGTGACTAAGGAACTTTATAGTTTCATATCCATTAGGTACGCGATTATTATATTTTATGCGATAGCCCAACAATTGTTTACAATTGATTGTGGAAAGTGTACCACCAGTAAATATGCCGAAAAGTAAGTCAGAAGTGCTGAAAACTTCAGATTTTTACATTCTTTAATGCTCTTATTACTCTGCAAGGGGTAAAGGCTTGACAATGTATCTGAATTTGAAAAAAACTATGCAAGATTGAGTAAAGTATTAGCGTAACTACCAAATAAGTATAATTTTACCTACAAAAATCTACATTTTTTTTTCCAGATTTCTGTATTTTACTACAAAAAAGTGGGTCATCGTGTTAAACAAAAAGTAATTACAACAATTTTGATTGTCTCCATACATAAAAAAAATGTCGTAACCACCAATTTTTCTAAAACAAAATGTAGTAAAAGCCACCCTACCTCTTGAACTGTTGAAGTTAGCATATTTATTCTTATACACTTTGAAAGGGATTTTTGCGGCCAAAAACATATGTAAACAGTACTAATATAGCTTTAGAAATGTAAAAAATACACAACATTATCGTTTTCCATTTTTAGTTTTTTGCGATTTCCCAAAGTTGCGATTTGGCTTTTACGACATTTGTTACTCAAAGGGTCGATATTATTCTCACAAGTGAAAATAAGAAATAGAAAAGATGACGTACATCGACCGGGAATCGAACCCGGGCCGCATGGGTAAACGCCCCACCGCTCTGCCACTGAGCTATCGATGCACAGCCGATGGACGCCAAATTTTCTATCTCTTGATGCTCGTCTCCAAGCGACGATCCAGCGACATCTATAGTAAGTATTTAGAACTTACTACATGGTTAGTCCACATTATGAGTGGAATTCAAACCATATGATGAAGCTTGCTTAATCAATCTATTGGGATTGTAATGCACTCACAGTGCTATATTATTCTCACAAGTGAAAATAAGAAATAGAAAAGATGACGTAAATCGACTGGGAATCGAACCCGGGCCGCATGGGTAAACGCCCCACCGCTCTGCCACTGAGCTATCGATGCACGGCCGATGGACGCCAAATTTTCTATCTCTTGATGCTCGTCTCCAAGCGACGATCCAGCGACATCTATAGTAAGTATTTAGAACTTACTTCACGGTTAGTCCACATTATGAGTGGAATTCAAACCATATGATGAAGCTTGCTTAATCAATCTATTGGGATTGTAATGCACTCACAGTGCTATATTATTCTCACAAGTGAAAACACTAAAAACTACTGAAACATAAACCAGATATCCTAGCTTTGAACGAAACGTGGATGAATGTAGGAGAAGAGTCTTTAGCTCCTGAACTAACTGGATATAAGTTATTACTTAAATTGCGAGGAAGTAGAGGTGGCGGTGTCGGCTTCTACGTAAGGAGAGAAATAATCGTTCGGAAACTACAGCACCCAGCGGCCGAGCTTGAGCAAATGTGGTTACAGGTACAGTTACCGGGAGCTACACTCGCTCTTGGTACTGCCTACAGGTCGGAGAGAATCAGCGTGCAGGACGCGCTCGACGCGCTCAGCGAGTCTATATGCTCTGTGGCACGCTGTGACTACCTCTGCTTCCTTGGCGATATGAACATCGATCTCGCTCTTGTAGATTCGCCTAAGGTAAGGGAACTTATGTCTTTCTGTCATAATCACGGTCTTGAACAACTGGTAAAGCAGCCGACCAGAATTACTGATAGCACTGAAACGATTATAGATATAGTATTAACAGATAGTTTAACGAAAGTTAAAAATGTTGAAGTAATTCATAACAGGTGCATTAGTGACCACGCAATGATTTTAGTTGATTTCGATATTAAAAAACCAAAACCAATAAAACTTGTAAAGTACACAAGAATTTTAAAAAATATTGACATGGACCTTTTTACTCAGGACTTAAACTCAATTCCATGGAACTCTATTTTAAATTTGCAAAATGTTGATCAAATGGTAGAAGCATATAACATTTACACATTACTCTTATTTGACATTCATGCCCCTGTAAGAAAACTTATTATAAAAGACAAGGCTAAGCCATGGATTACAGACACGGTTAAACTAATGATGAGCATTAGAGACGAAGCTTTAGTTAAGGCGCAAGAAACTAAGTCAGATGGAGCCAAAGAATACTACCGTAGCCTCAGAAATTTAGTTACTGCAGCGAGACATAGAGAAAAGACAGCATACTTCAACTACTCCATTAACAATAACTTAAAAAATCCAAACGCGTTGTGGAAAAACCTAAAATCTACTACAATATTTGATAACTCACGACAACATTCAATTCCTCCACACTTAAACGACCCAAATAAAATAAACGATCACTTTTTAAATTTACCATCATATAACGAAAATGACTTAGAGAGAATCGCATTAGATAGATCTCAATTCCCTGACATTTTTGAAATTAAGACAACTACTGAGTCAGAGATATTTAAAATCATCAATAGTATTCACACCAATGCTGCGGGACATGACACTCTGAATATAAATATGATTAAATTAACCCTGGAAGTCACTCTCCCTATAATCACAGCAATAGTAAACAAATCCATAGAAACAAAAACATTCCCTACTTTTTGGAAAAAATCAGTAGTACGGCCCATTCCAAAGAAAAACACAGTAAATGATCTCAAGGACCTGCGACCAATTTCGATTCTACCCGTTTTATCTAAGGTTTTAGAAAAGGTTGTACTTAATCAAGTAGTTAAACACCTAGAAAATACACCCATCATACCTGCATATCAGTCTGGCTTTAGAAGGGGTCATGGGACAGAGACAGCGCTATTAAACGTCACGGATGACCTGCTTGAAGCTTCAGATAAAGGATTAAGTAGCATCATGATTTTACTAGATTATTCTCGCGCTTTTGACTGTCTGCATCCCGAGTTACTGCTGGCGAAGCTAGAACATTATGGGTTTTCATCCGATACGTGCCAATGGTTTAAATCTTTTCTATACAACCGGGAACAGGCTGTGGAGGTCGATAATATGGACGGGGAGAAGAGGTTGTCATCATTTCAAACCGTTAATCGAGGGGTGCCACAAGGTTCCATTTTAAGTCCGGTACTTTTCTCTATTTTTACAGCAGACCTGCCTAAACACATCGAATCCTGCAAATATCATCTGTATGCCGACGATACTCAATTGTATTACTCGTTCCAAGGTAGTGACGTCAAAACAGCCATTTCAAAAATAAACAATGATTTAAATAATATCTCGATTTGGTCTAAAAAGAACTCAATTCTCCTTAATCCAGTGAAATCACAGCTGTTAGTATTGGGCACAAAACATCAAATAAAAATTGTCAAAGACTGTTCAGATATAATAAAAATTGATGGTGTTGAGCTTGAACACGTTTCAACTGCACGTAATCTCGGCCTGATCTTGGACGGGGAACAAAAGTTCGTAGAGCATGTTAAGGGCAAGATAAGATCAGCTTTCTTTAAACTTAAAACTCTATACCAGATCAGACCTTATATAAAAGAGGAACTCCGGGTTCTATTAACAGACTCGTTAGTGCTCTCTCCATTCAACTATTGTAGTTTTGTATACGGTCCTTGCATAAATTCAAGCATAGAAAGAGCAATACAAAGAGTGCAAAACGCATGTGTCCGCTTTTGTTTTAATGTTCCCAGGAGAGAGTATATAACACCATATTTAAATAAAAAAGGTATACTCAATATGAAAGCCAAGAGAGAAATTTTATATGCATGTACTATTCAAAGGGTTATTTGGAATAAAAAACCGGACTATCTGTTTCAGAAGCTAACTTGGGTAGACAATATTAAAATACGATGTTCACGCAGTACAGCGCAGAATCTTCTGCTAATTCCAAAACATAAAACCACACGCTACTCTGGATGCTTCAAGTTTAATGCTGCAAAAATATGGAATGATCTTCCTCCTCCAATGAGGAAAAAAATGTCGGTATCGAGCTTCAAAGCCAAATATAAAAAAGCTTTATTTAAAAGGCAACTTGCAGCAGAAAACTTGAAGCATGCACATTGGAAGTTATTACCCCTTAAAGATTATTTTGCATAACATAACTAAAACACACGCATACACACACACACTTACACACACACGCACACTTACACACACACACACACACACACACACACACACACACACACACACACACACACACACACACACACACACAATGGAAGAGTTTGTTAAAATATTGGTAAAATTTTAAAAATGTTTAGTTGATCTATCCAAAGAGATTTTATTTTATTACAATATCCAAAGAGTAACAATTTTATGTTTTCTATTCTTAATTTTATCGCATGTTTGTTTTTAAGATTATATTGTCAAGCCCTCTCCTACACTACCCCGTGTAAGATCTTAGGGAGGAGGGACTGACTAAAAATCAGCGCCGACAGGACTTGGGTCCTGTCAGCAAAACCTGAGTCAGACCCTTTTGCCTTTTTCTTTGTAATTGTACTTAGATTAAGCTAGTTTTTTTTGTTGAACTTAAAGGCAATAAACATTATTCTATTCTATTCTATTCTATTCTAAAATAAGAAATAGAAAAGATGACGTACATCGACCGGGAATCGAACCCGGGCCGCATGGGTAAACGCCCCACCGCTCTGCCACTGAGCTATCGATGCACGGCCGATGGACGCCAAATTTTCTATCTCTTGATGCTTGTCTCCAAGCGACGATCCAGCAACATCTATAGTAAGTATTTAGAACTTACTACATGGTTAGTCCACATTATGAGTGGAATTCAAACCATATGATGAAGCTTGCTTAATCAATCTATTGGGATTGTAATGCACTCACAGTGCTATATTATTCTCACAAGTGAAAATAAGAAATAGAAAAGATGACGTACATCGACCGGGAATCGAACCCGGGCCGCATGGGTAAACGCCCACCGCTCTGCCACTGAGCTATCGATGCACGGCCGATGGACGCCAAATTTTCTATCTCTTGATGCTCGTCTCCAAGCGACGATCCAGCGACATCTATAGTAAGTATTTAGAACTTACTACATGGTTAGTCCACATTATGAGTGGAATTCAAACCATATGATGAAGCTTGCTTAATCAATCTATTGGGATTGTAATGCACTCACAGTCGATAGCTCAGTGGCAGAGCGGTGGGGCGTTTACCCATGCGGCCCGGGTTCGATTCCCGGTCGATGTACGTCATCTTTTCTATTTCTTATTTTCACTTGTGAGAATAATATAGCACTGTGAGTGCATTACAATCCCAATAGATTGATTAAGCAAGCTTCATCATATGGTTTGAATTCCACTCATAATGTGGACTAACCATGTAGTAAGTTCTAAATACTTACTATAGATGTCGCTGGATCGTCGCTTGGAGACGAGCATCAGAGATAGAAAATTTGGCGTCCATCGGCCGTGCATCGATAGCTCAGTGGCAGAGCGGTGGGGCGTTTACCCATGCGGCCCGGGTTCGATTCCCGGTCGATGTACGTCATCTTTCTATTTCTTATTTTCACTTGTGAGAATAATATAGCACTGTGAGTGCATTACAATCCCAATAGATTGATTAAGCAAGCTTCATCATATGGTTTGAATTCCACTCATAATGTGGACTAACCATGTAGTAAGTTCTAAATACTTACTATAGATGTCGCTGGATCGTCGCTTGGAGACGAGCATCAAGAGATAGAAAATTTGGCGTCCATCGGCCGTGCATCGATAGCTCAGTGGCAGAGCGGTGGGGCGTTTACCCATGCGGCCCGGGTTCGATTCCCGGTCGATGTACGTCATCTTTTCTATTTCTTATTTTCACTTGTGAGTGTTATATTATAAAACTATTAATAAAATGACTTTAAAGTAAATATAGTTCAATGTAAAGTATGTATTGTTAATGAAGGATGTACTTCATGATCTTGAAATCACGTAGGTAACGATATAGATTTTAAAACTTGCACAATTAAAAAGATTTCTTCTTGTGCGTTTATCTTACAGTCAGTTGAAAGATTTAATTTTAAAGACAGTATCTCTCATCTCTACAATACTAACACTACAGGTGTCTAATAAGACAATTTAGACGGACATTAAGATAACATTTATAAACAGCAACACAGTAATAGGAACTGCAAAGCACAGGAAATGAACGCACATCTTCGTGGTAAACTCACATGTGGTATAAAATATAAACTTGCAGCCTTTACAACTTTCTAAGCACATGCATGATTATCTAGAGGTACAACTGTTGAGATCGAAAGAGACTTAAAGAAAATAGGTAAATACAACGTTGTTTACCAATTGATAGGTACCTGGTCAGCGCGCAAGTGACCCAGAAAATCATTTGTAGCAATGACTTGCAGTGGCTAACATCAAAATGAATGATGATTTTTGAATCGAATTTAATTGTAATATCTATTGCAGATCCAGTAGATTTAATTTAATGGAAAACAATAAGTTTTTCTAACCTTAGGTTAAACTTTCCAATCTAGACGACAATCTTGCGTAGAGGTGTTCAGTGCGAAAAAAAATGTTTTAATTTTGTATATCTATTAAATCTCAAATCCCTAGTCCATTTTGTCTATCTTTTTTTTGGTTTTATTTATTAATGCAGAAATGTTAATCTAACCTAAGTGTACCTATTTTGGTTTTGTATATTTCTTTGTCTTTCGCTTTGATTCTTTCGTCTGATTCTTTGATATTATTGCACCAGTTTCTCTTCACTTGGTCCACAAGCTACCCTAACCATGAGATCTTGCCGCCACCGCATCCGCACCATTGTGTGCGACATTCTGGAGGAAATTGTGGAAAATTTCGTTACTCGTTGCACTATACTTATTATGGTTGCGTCACGACTTTTGCTATTGAGGCACTTGTCAAACAATAAGTTGCAAAAAGCTGGGTTTGCGTAATTTCCTTAGGCTGATTTTTTTGTGGTTTTGCATAAAGTGTAGTAAATCATTGTTTTGGTTGTAAACGAGCAGCTTTTGGAAGAGGATGTTTGAATATTCGCCGAAGTGTTTAGTGCGTGTGTTTTTGTCTATTCTTTTCTTGTAATGTCATCCTTTTTCGTGACCTAGGAACATTTCCATTTTTGATTCAGTCTTTTTATGTGTGTAGCTACAAATTGAACAACATTGCATAGTTTTAGGATAATAATGAGGTAATATCAACCCTTGTCGATGTTACATAAACATTCTATATTTTTTTTGTAAAATATACCACCAGGCTGACTTTCACTCGTAAAAATTAAGTATGCATATAGCATAATATTGTAACTTATTTTTAATGTCCATTGTCCTGTTCTCATTCTCACGTACTAGCTGGTACTTCCTTTAGCTGCATGCAGGTGTCGATACAGGATGCATTTTAAGTCTTCACTTTTTCAGCTGTTTCGTATCTGATTGTAGGTAGTTCTGTTGTTAAGAATAGTAAGATTTTTACATTGATGACTTTGTGGCGGCATATATATAGTATCTACAACGGTGTCTGTTACGCAGAGGTTCACGTTAAGTTTTAATTGGTGAATATTAATACCTGATGTCAGTTCTAATTGTCCATTGTATATTGTGTTTGCATGTGTGCTTATGGTATGAGACATTCCAACCCAATTTATTTATTTATTCAATCGTATGTACAAATACGAGACTAGATACCTAGTCGATTTTGACCCAAACTGGTCTCGAACAGCTACGGACCGTCTGGTTTGAAAAAAGAAAGGGGAGTCCTTTACCCAGCAATGGGACGTTCTAGGCTGATATAACGATAATAATAAATGGACAAATACAAGGACTCCAAACAAACTTATTGTCTCTCCTAAGTAATGCTCACCTACTTTAATTCCAAAACGTTGGATTGCATACCAATGATAATTCACTGGGGGTTTCTTAGTCCGTAAGTCGCCTGGGGGTAACCTAGCGGAGTCGGGCATACCATAAAACCTAAGCCTATGGTATCTATGGTGATTTTCCCCTACATAGATATGCAATGATGATTTCCCCCTACTTACGCAACAACAAAAGAAATGCTCACCTAGTTTTCTTGTTCCGCAGGTGTCGGTGTCGGCGTCGAGGCGGTCCCGCCGTATAGGATGCCTCCAGCGCCGGACGCGCTGCCCGGCGCGCCTGCACCCACGCCGCAACTTCATACACATTCCGCTAAGTTCCCGGTAAGTTATATTTCATCATTATCAACATCGGCCTGTCCTTCTCATTGTTATTTATCGTCGGCTTCTTTTTCTTTATCGACTTCTTCTCCTTCATCATCATCATCATCATCATCATTATCAGCGGTCCCGCCGTACAGGATGCCGCCGGCGCCGGACGCGCTGCCCGGCGCGCCTGCACCCACGCCGCAACTGCATACGCATTCGGCTAAGTTCCCGGTATGTTGAGATATTTTTGAGGCAAGCTTTGACGTTGTCCTACCAGATGCTCTGATCAGATCCGCGCAATCCTGGACACCAAGCCTCACGATGCTCTTCACTTTGCCAAAGACAGGAACAAGTGGCGAAACACCGTCCGGCAGAAGCTGATGCCACGACTGCTAGGAAATCGCGAGTCACGACCCTCACCATTGAGGAATACGACGCGAGGAGAAAGAGGAGCTATCTCTTATCATCGTCCGTCATAGTCTTTATCGCCATCAGCTTTGCTTTCTTCTTCATTATGATTATCTTTATCATCAACATTATCATCGCCAGCGATCCCGCCGCAGAATGCCGCCGGCGTCCACCAACCACGCCACAACTTCATACGCACTCGGCTAAGTTCCCTGTATGTACCTACAGTATCATCTTCTTTTACATTAACTTCATTTTTCTATTCTTCTTTATTATCATCATCGCATTGACGATTCTGCAGTACAGGAAGCTGCCTTTGATTAGCCTAATAGCTTAAAACTTTCTTGTATTCCTTCCTATCTTTGAAATCAGCTATCAAAGCATCTTCACAAAGATGCGAAATAATTGTAGATTAAATAAGTTTGACTTTTCTGATATTTTTTCTTATTCTGATAAATGCGGACGTCAAAAATAATCTGAAAGGCATGCATACAGTAGCAACAGACAATGGGCTCTTAAACGATTTTCCTTAAATACCCTTCATCACCGACACGAGAACCGCCTCAGTATTTATGCAATCATGCTTGAACACAAAAATACAATCGTTCACGCCCCCCTATTACATACACTAATCGATGAGAAAGAACATGCAAGAATTTCCCTTAGTCATGTACATGTTTTTATCTCACCAGCGTATGTAGACAGCTGGTGGAAGAAATCTCCAGTGAAAGTGATCATTGTGGCAAAGAATATACTATTGACGTGACGTGTATATAACCTTTACAATTGAGCTGAGTAACCTGTTGAAACGGTTGGATAACATCTTTAAATGGTAAGATTTGATTGGCCTATGTACCTGAGTGCTCTTTTGCGTGCTGTGTGGTCGTTTAGGATTGAGAGGTACTTTTATCAATATGGTCATGTTATTTTGAACGTTTTCCGGTGACTGAACTTTTTGGCGTGTATTTCTACTTCTGCTGTAATCTTCATCTTTTGTGCGTCTTTGATCTTTGCTATTTCCGGTTATATTTCCGATTGTGCTGTCCGTAATTTGTCTATGTCATTCGTTACATCTTTCTATAACCGTTACGTGTACTTATGTATCGCTACTCCTACACATACATCTTCATTAAGAAAGCAGCGAAACCTGTTTGAAATAAAACATGTTCTATCAAGAGACCTATTAGATAATCATCAATCATTGATCTATTGACTATTGACTATTGATCTCATTTTAATTAAATAAAAAGTACCTAATTAAATATAAGTATAGATACAACACTTAAAGTATAACTTTGTTAAACATATTTAAATTTTGTAATATTAATAGACTTAAGTTTACTGTTGTAAGTTTTTAGAGAACGCCGTGTACACCTATAATTGGTATATATATTAGTAATTTTGTATTGGAACTAGTTCTAAGAGTGTTCAATGTATATACTGTTGGTGTTCCTTATCCAAAAAAAAAAAAAAAAAATTCATCAACAGTCCACTAAATAAGCCTGCCCCTATTGGAGGTAATTTTTATACTCACCAATACTCAAAAAGCGCTCTGCTTCTATTCCATTCCCTAAACAAATATATCCCTACTCACCTTTTACACAACAATGGATTGCCGCAATTCTACCCTGGTACCGCATAGG